TATTGCAGGAAATAAAAATGTGGTGATTTTCTCAAAATTTTCTGAATAAAATTGCGCCTGTCTAAAATAATTTTCACAAAAATACGTTTTTGAGGTTAGAGGCTACTAGGAGCGACCTAGCACTTTGAAAATATCATTAAGATTATTTGACCCAAATGCCTTGATTGGGTCGATCCGGATTTCCAGACCTTTGAAGGTAATTTTCATAAGTAGTTATGCCTATAGGCTTTGATTATTTTCAGGACCGAAGATCCCACTCATAGACCCTGATCCTTTAATGTACCGTCTTGTTACATATTGCTTATAAATATTGTCCGAAGCTGTTGCTGTTTGATTCAATGACATGTTTGTTAACTTTTTCCTCAATCTGCAAGATTCGGAGTTTGTTAGAATTTCTACCTGCTGTACTCACCCCGACGTTTTTGCGCCCTGTATCCTCATCAGTTTCTTGGATATTGCAGCTTTTTTGGGAAGCTAATCTTAAGTCTTTGGTGTTTGTGTTACTATGAAAATGTATTTATTTACCAAATAACTATACGTCGCACAAAAGAAAGTATCAACTTCAAAAACACCCTGTATTCATGCATTGTAATCTTCATCTCAGGAAGGCTTTTCAACGAAAGCCTTACGATCGTTGGAGGACACGACGCTGAAATATCAGACTACCCCTATCAAGTCTCTGTTCAATCATTTGGTAAACATTCTTGCGGTGGCAGCATTCTGGACGAGTCTTTCATTTTGACTGCAGCTCACTGTCTTATAGGGTAAGAAAATGTGGAAACGGTGACAGAACAATGCAAAGTCAGTAAAGTTTCATATTTGTAACTTCTTTATAATGTTTTACGAAATTAATGTCATCTAACCACTAAGTCATTTTAAAAAAGTTCTAGCTCTAATCAGTGCCAATATCTTTTATGCACGACCGAGTTTACCGGGCAGTAAGTCCTACTTGTCGGCCCAAAGACTTCTTCATGTCATAGGCCGGTAAAGTAAGTTTATAGCCCGGTATGTTAAATTAACTTATGTTGAACCGTATTTATTTATTCTATGCTAGTCTACGGCGCGCCTTAGTGATACTGCGTCAATTTATTTACTTTCAATTATACTCGTATTTAAAAGCTAATCTATATTTTTGTTTTTGACCGGTCATAGATAAGATTTTGTTTGTATCTGAGGCATAATAAGCTTATGCTCTATTTTCACGCTGCGAGTCATAACCGCCCTAGATATATAAATAACTATTTTCTCCGACATGTGATTTTTCAGGATTTATGTTCATAGTAACTCTTAGTTCTGTTTTCTGATACAAAGAAACAGAATAGGTAACAGAAAACATCAAAATCTATAAAACTCCATGATCTTCTGGCCAAATGAGACCAATATCTATTAATTACTATACTAGTATACTAGCTAGCTTTTCCCAGGATGTCTTATAAATGTCCGCATGTTTCTACACCTAAACTATGAAGTCAGTTATCTTCCAAAACAGATAATTTAATTATGATGGATCGCTCGAGTACTAAGAATTCCGAACGTAAGCTCACTCCACTCTTGGAATGTCCGGGTGGAGGGTGGATTCGAGGGAACAACATCCAAGATGACATTTGTTTCACGAACATCATCAGCAACATTGATGCTGTTCATCACTACTCGCAATCCAATCGTCCCGCCATGTTTTTCTTGGCGGAGACAAAAATCTCAGAGTCTGCACCGACTAACCATCTTAGATTCCCAAATTACGAGGTGTACTCCAATCTGAGAAAGAACGGGAGAGTTGTGTCTTTCCTGCTCCAGTGATATTTTTTTGGAATCAAACCGGAAGAACATTCTGTGGCTTTGCCTCAACTCCAAATCATCCCCTAGATTTATTTGCTACCTGTATCGCTCTCCCTCGGACCATAACTGGGATGAACTACTTCAATACCTCGCCGTCAAGATCGACTTCCTGAACATCAATCACCCCGCTTCAGAGGTAGTTCTCCGCGGTGATTTCAATGGCGATAATGAGCTTTGGTTGTGCTCAAACATGGATCCCTCGAGCACTAAGAACTCCGGACTTAAACTCACTCCACTCTCGGAATGTCCGGGTGGAGGGTGGGCTGGAGGGAACAACATCGAAGATAAAATTTGTTTTTCGAACATCTGCGGGGTTAACAGCAACATTGATGCTGTTCATTACTACCTGCAATCCAATCGTCCCGCCGTGCTTTTCTTGGCGGAGACAAAAATCTCAGAGTCTGCAGCGATTAACCATCCTAACTTCCCAAACTACGAGGTGCACTCCACTCTGAGAAAGAACGGGGGAGTTGTGGCTTTTGTCCGCAGCAGTCTTTCCTGCTCCAGAGATGTTTCTTTGTAATCAGACCGAAAGGACATTCTGTGGCTTCGCCTCAACTGCAAAACATCACCCATGTTTATTTGCTGCCTTTATCGCTCTCCCTCGGACCATAACTGGGATGACCTACTCGAATACCTCGCCGTCCAGATCGACTTCCTGAACATCAATCATCCCGCTTCAGAGGTAGTTCTTCTCGGTTATTTCAATGCCCATAACGAGCGTTGGTTGGGCTCAAACAAGACCGACGCAGCAGGTCGTGCAGTCGAAGCGTTTGCTCTTACCCAAGGGCTGACTCAGCTGGTGACGAGTCCAACTTTTTCCCCCGCGTCTCGTCACACGCCAGTAGCCCGCTGGATCTCTTTCTGACCACGCATCCTGCCCCTTACATCACTGCTGTCCTGTCCCCCCTGGGTAACTCAGACCACGGTGTTGTGGAGGTTAGATTTCGGTCAGAACCCGCTGTGGCAGCAGAAACCCGTACAGGCCGCAAAACTTGGCATTACGGACATGCCGACTGGGAGGGGCTCAGAGATTTCTTCTCTAGCTTTCCTTGGAAAGATGTCTGTTTCACTGACGCGGATGCGTGGGCTGTCTGTTCTTCGATAACCAAAATTATCCACGTCGGAATGGAGCAATACATCCCTCACACAGTGAAAGTGCCTAGACCAGGGTCCAATGGCTGGTTTAACAAATCGTGTGACGCCGCCCGCCAGCAGAAGATCAAGGCACACAGAACCTTCTTACAAAACCCCACTGTAGAGAACAGACAAGCCGACGTTGAGTCCAGAAACAAATATAAAGCAGCGGTTCGCAATGCCAAAAACCAGCACGATATAAAAGTTAGGCACAGGGTAATGTCGCAGCGCAATGGCAGTCGGTCTTTCTGGACGCTGGCCAAGCAAATTGAAAAGAACTTCTCACACAGTAGCCTTCCACCACTTACGTGTCAGGATGAAACTATTGTATTCAACTCAAAGGCCAAGGCGGAAGTGCTAGCCAAGATCTTTGCTGCCAACTCCACCATGGACGTCCCCCCACCGCCCAAGTGCGGTCAATTCAAAGGGTTCCCTACACTATGCGGAAGGTAACATTCAGGCATAAGACCGTAAGACGAGTGCTCTTGTCGCTCGACATCAACAAAGCTTCTGGTCCGGACTTGATTCCTGCCATTGTACTGAAGAGGTGTGCACCGGAGCTTGCTCCAGTTCTTTCACGTCTCTTCAGATATCTTACCCAGAAAACTGGAAATTTACTCATGTCCAACCCATCCCAAAAAAGGGATCTAAGACCGACCCTTACAACTACAGGCCTATAGCTCTGATTTCTGTTATAAGTAAGGTGATGGAGAGATGCATAAATCGCGAGCTTCTGGACTACCTCGACAGTCACCGCTTGATTAGCAACTATCAGTATGGTTTCCAGCACCAACGATCCACAGAGGACCTACTAGCTTACGTCACGCAATTGTGGACTAAACTCATCCAGTCCTATGGTGAGGCTCATGTCGTTGCTCGTGACATCACGAAAGCATTGGATCAGCTGTGGCACGCTGCCCTCTTAAGCAAAATTCAATCCTATGGCCTCCCAGAAAAGCTTTGCAGATGGGTGGCTGGCTTTATCTCTGGCAGCAAGATATCCGTAGTAATTGACGGGTTCTTCTCTTCATCCCACAACGTTAACGCGGGTGTTCTCCAGGGATCGGTCTTGGTTCCGACACTGTCCCCCTTACATATCAACGATCTCCTTTCCTGCACGATCAACCCAATCCACAGCTTCGCTGATGACAGCACTCTACATGCAGGAATTCAGAGTGACAAGCCCATCTTTGTCGCTGAGCTGGAAAAAAGAAGACTTGCGACGACTTCCTCTCTGACGAGGCTATCACTGCTTGGAGACGCAACAATCTTGTACATTTTAATGCTTCCAAAACTCAGTACTGTACCTTGACAAACAAAAATCCTCCTAGCGCTCATCCGGTTTCGATGGATGGCCGAGTTCTGCCAAAGAGCCATTCATTTCGGCTGTTTGCTTAAGGATGACCTTCTCACTCTATACAAAGCCCAGAAAATTGCTCACACGTTCGGGGTGCTGCTGCCCCGACTATATTATTTATGCTAGATCCTATCCAGAGGAGGGCTGTCCGACTCATCGATGACTCTTCTCTAACAGACAGTCTCTGGATCCTTTCGCACCGGCGAGCCGTCGGCAATCTAGCTCTCTTCTACCGCTACACCAACGGGCTCTGCTCCTCAGAGCTCTCTTCCATAATGCCGAACTTCGTACATCCAGAACTGGCCGATATGACCGCTCCTTTGTCCCAAGGGTGTATAGATTGTGGAACAATCTACAAGAGGAAGCTTTTCCCAGTTCTACTAACCTTAGGCAGTTCAAAAATCGAATTAACAAAATTTCTTTAGGATCATCATAGCAGCGGTGACCCGGCATTTAGGCTTCTGCCTGCGCGGTTGCATCGGTATAAAAAAAATACTACTATATACCAATATTTGTATTTTGAAAAAAGTCCACGTCAATAAAAAGTGATTAATGCACATGAGGTTTCATATGACTGGAAGACCATGGAGTACTGTCAACATGAAAACACAGGATAAGTTTCAGGTGTTACATTAATCAGAATTCATGATTAATTAAAATTTCATTTTAGGGAAAGCAAGAGAAGTATAACGGTCCGAGTAGGATCTTCATACAGAAACAAGGATGGTAAAGTATTCAATGTAATAAAATTATTCAGGCATCCAGAGTTTGACGAAGAAACGTACAATTATGATATAGCAATACTTCAGCTCAGCGGAGCGGTTGAATTTGGCGCGGGGGTTAGGAAGGTTGCTCTGCCCTCTCCAGGTGAAGTATCAATCCAAAAAGTACAGGAAACGATGGTTTGAAAACCCTCAATTCTCCAGATGCTAAAATTTAGCCTATTTTTTGTGATTAAGCTTTTGAAAAGATTCTTATTAAAATTTCTATTTCTTTATTCCTCATAACAATCAGGTAAAGGCTTGCTTCGATAAAAGATTTTTAGTATGGTTGGGTTATCAAACAATTAATGAAGAGATAAATCTGTTATTTTCATGTTGGTTTTACTAAGATCCATCTCGTTCAATTTTAAGCCCTGATTTTAACCAAATCCCTAGAAGTTATCACCATTGCGTAAACTTTAAGAGTCACTTTTGGCAGAAAAATCATTTGAAGCTTTTGCGAGAAACTCTAAAATTAATTCATAATGATAACTCTTCTCTAACAGACAGTCTCCAGACCCTTTCGCACCGGCGGGCCGTCGGCGATCTAGCTCTCTTCTACCGCTACACCACCGGGCTTTGCTCCTCAGAGCTCTCTTCCATGACTCCGCCGCGCAATGTGGCTACCAGACAAACCCGCCTGACATTAGCCTCCCATGCTAACCGTGTCGAACTTCGTACATCCAGAACTGGCCGATACGACGGCTCCTTTGTCCCGAGGGTGTCGAGATTGTGGAACAATCTACAAGAGGAAGTGTTTCCCAGTTCTACTAATCTTAAGCAGTTCAAAAATCAGATTATCAAATTTTCTTTGGCACCCTTATAGTAGGCGCGGTGTTCCGGCACTTAGACTATTGCCTGCGCGGCTTCTTCAGCATATAAAAAAACTATATACGCATTCGCCATTTTTAAATGTTATCTAATAGCAGGCTGAAACATAGCGAGTGCTGCAACAATGATCTAGAAAAAATTCCTGGCGAAAAACAAGGTCAAGCAGATTCACTCCATACTTCCTGTACCTTATCACTTATCAAAAACAACAAAATGTTGAGAGTGTTGTTTGACGTTGTTCTGATGAATGTATGTGTATGTAAGGTTTCTGAATATTGGCATCACGTCAGTTATTTCAACAACTAACAATACTCAGATATTTTATATAATATCTGATTAGCAATTATCTACCTGATAATAAGCTTTTAGAAGTAAATGTCAAATGATTTCAAAATTTCAATAAACGACTGGGTCAGGACTACTCAAAAGACTCAACCTGAATCGAAAGTGTTCACTAAAATATATCGTAAGCCTCTACATCTCAAACTGTAGAAAGTAAATTCTTCATATTTCTGTTTCAATGAAAATGTATGGAAAACGTGTGTGAAAATTATGCCCAACGGTTCCATAGTATTACCGGGATCAGAAGCTTCTTAATAACAGAACGTCTTTCTCTGGTACTGATTCAACATTTAAAACTCCAGCCCATTATAACCTACAGCACTCAATCTCCAGCCGCTCTAAAAAAATTTTGAAAATGAGCAGGCATTTCTACGGAAAACAAGGTTCCAGCGATATTCATTTAACCCCCAAAGCTTTTTCGTCCTTCATATATTAGTCACATTGTGTGGAAATTTCAACAATATCAGAAACGTACCTTCCGGCATTACCCGAGAGGTAGACAGAACTTTTTACATAAGTTTGGTACCACGTTTGACGTGCAGGAAAAATTTGTTTGGATCATCCTCAGACGTTGTTATCCGTGAGTTTTTTTATTTGCACGATCAGACAATTTTTAGGAGGGGTCAAAATATAGCCCAACGACAGAAAAAGATAAATCGTGAAACAGCGGCAGTGATAGAAGAAGACTAGCGGTTTGTTCGTACAGCCCGTTTGCTGACAATCAGCAAACTGATACTCGGCGACAAGTCATGACCTAGTTTGTGCAGTTAGCTGTCACTGACACGTCGCTGACTGTACTAATTGCGTACATAAGAACGTTGCTAGTTGGCTGAGGGAGGCCAGACCGATTACCGACCACTAATCCGCTGTTCATACAGAAACTTCTGACTGTTTGGTGACTGCCAAATCAGTCAGCAGATAATTTTCCAGTAAATTGTCAGAGCTCGAAATCAAGTACAATAATTATTCGAACGTAAAATTTATTAGAATGAAGTAGACAATTTTGAAAAAGTTGGGGGTTAATTTGCTGTGAACCAGAATTATCTAGGATTTTTTGTCCAACTGTCCAAATGTGCCCGAATTTTCCTTTAGAGAGGAAAACATGGACACCTTCTAGAAAAAATAACAGCACCCAAAAATGTCAAGTAGATTTACTCAGTGATTACCATTCAATTCTCATAAATAAAGTATAAACATAAATTCGAAGAAATATGATTCCACACATCGAATGACAAGTTGAAAAAGTAAATACATAGTAAGAATTCTGAATAAACATCTGCAGCGATTATGCATGAGAAATGTACAAAGTATTGTGAAGAACTTTTGATAAAACTCGGATAGTAGGGTTTTTGTTTCCTGTTCCTTTGTCACCCAGCCTCGAAGTGTATGCACAAACAGTATTTAGATATTCTAGCTATGTAAGTCCAACTCAAAGCTGATGAAAAAATAAACAAAATACCGAATTCTGGAGATTTTGTGATACAGCTTTTTCTCACAGAGAGGGAGACTTGTTTGTGCTGGGATGAAGATAATATTTTCCCGATACAGGGTATTTTAAATCCGACTCTCACCATTCGGATCTCGGAAACTTCAAGGGATACGAAGTCACTTAAATATGGGCAAATTTTCGTATTCAGATAATCAGCAAAATGTCGCTTAGAAAGTTTTGAAATTGAAAGTACCTCCGAGAACGGACGTAAAAAACGAAATTTCCCAAAATGGTTTTAATTTTCTCCTGACTTTATTTGTGGTGTTATTTCAAAATAAATTGCACATGAACTCTGCCACATTTTCTACTCTACAAGACGGCATAATTAGAATGTCAATAAGACGTTTCTCTTGTCCTTCAGCATCAACTTGACTTTTTCTTATAGACGACATATTGGATTCTTACTCACATGAATAGAATTTTTATTCTGATTTAAAAAATGTATGTCATGCATTGACATTGCAAAACCTTAGTTATTCCAGAACTTCCTAGGTAGGCCTTGAAATTATTAGATTTTATTTGTTTGTATAGAAACAGAGTTTGGAAGACTGTGAATATCTCTGCTTATTTATGGTTATTATTGTTATTACCATCAATAAAATTTTCATTTCGTATTCAGGTTTCATTCACCAAATCTTTTTATTTCCTTTTAATTTTCATCCAACAACAAATTTAGGGCTTAAAAAGTCCATTTAAATGTACAAATTCCGTATGAAAAAACAAATTTGGTGATGGAAGTCAAAAGAAGAAATGTCGAATTGAAAATTTGACTACGCCATCTTGCAGACGAGAATAAGTAACAATGACAATATGCAATTTATTTTGAAATCCCATCTCGAATAGGGTTGGGAAAAAATAGAGCGGATTTGGAATACATCTGGCGATCGAAACAAACATGTGATAATTTCAGGGCCTACTTAAGAAATTCTGTTTTTCTTAAAGTAATCAAGGTTTGACAACGTCAATGTATAACGCATTTTGTATTTTTTTAATCAAAATTAAAAACTATTCATCTGTGCAAAAATGCAATATAGCGTCCTTAAGAAATAATAAAGTTGATGCTGGAGGACAAGAGACGAACCGTCATATGGAAATTCAGATTATGCCTTCTTGTAGAGGAGAAAACGTGGCCCTGTTAATGTGCAATTTATTTTAAAATCCCAATATAAATAAAGTCAGGAAAAAATCAGAACAATTTTGGAAAAATTCAGTTTTTCCGTTACTCTACGGAAGCACATTGAATTTCGAAACCTTCTGCAACTGTCACTTTGTTGACTACCCCATTTAAGCGACTTCGTATCCCTTACAGTTTCAAAGATCCCAATGGTGAGGGCCAAATTAGAAACACGCTGTATAATAGACTCTTACTAGAAGAAAGAAGTGAAAATACTACAAGGATTTGATGACGTCTTTGAATAATAAAGGTGTTATACACTCAAAAGCTAAAACGGCTGTACATTACAATTGTCAAGATCTGTTTACATAGCTATAAGTTTCACAGAGTTCTCAAGATGGACAAAAAGAACTGAGACTACGAAAATACATACAAGTAAGACTTAAATAGAGTAATTAAGCATTTTGCAACTGTAACAAAAATCTTCTAAATATTAGTGATCACAAAAATCGTATTAATTATGGTTCTTGAAAGTTATGTCCTATTGTTCGGATTTTTCATACTGTATTCATAAACTGCACTTTGCCATTACCGGGACAATAAACAAAATATTGAGCACAAAGCACTTTGGCGCTGGCTGATATTTAAAATGGAATTTCATTAAAATTTCTTCTGCCACTTGCTGACCTGAAAATGTTACAAAACTTGTTTCTGTTGAATTGTGGCCCTGTTGTCTCTACAAAATTAAGGTTTTTGGGTTTCATTTTGTTTACACCGAATCAACTTTGTTATTCCCATTTTTGAACTGCCTAAAGTTAGTAGAACTGGGAAAATGTCCTCATGTAGATTGTTACGGGATCTCGACACCCTCGGGACAAAGGAGCGATCTTATCGGCCAGTTCTGGATGTACGAAGTTCGGCACGCATACGGTGGGAGGCTGAAGTTAGGTAGGCACATCGCGGGACGACACCATGGAAGAAAGCTGGAGGAGCAAAGCCCGTTGGCGTAGCTAGATCGCCAACGGCCCGTGTGTCACCAGACCATCCATTGAAAAAGAGTAATCGATCATTAAATGCCTCTTGCGAAGCAGTTTTAGTCCTCAAGATAGTTTCGACACACTGTGATACCTGTCACTGTCACTGGTTGACTGGTGTCCTCTGATCTGTCAGAAGGTTCTGTACGAACAACGGATTAGCTGTCGGCAAACAGTCAGAAACTTTACGAACAGGTAACATCTCTCTAATTGTGATTTTGACAGTCACCGACAAGTTACCGACGACTGTATGAACAAACCATAGAACGCTCGCCAGTCTGCCCAGAGAGACATATGTCCAATAGGACAAACAATTGAGATATACCCCTCATACCTCCTAGAACCCTCAATTTTTGACACCTCCAATTTTTTTTCTGAAAATGATTAGGAGCTTCGGAAACCTCAAAAAAAAAAGGTTTAAGCGATTTTTATTTTTTTTGGCCCTTGGCATAGTAGTAACCTTGTGTGAGTTTTTTTTAAATTCGAGTGGTACTTCCTAAGGTAAATACAGGCAGCGGATTAGCGGAAATATACAGACAGAGCGATGGAAATGAGTGACGTGCTTTTTCCTAATGTACATGGCATACAACATATCACATTTAATATTTTTTTCGCGATTACAATACTCCTCGCTAATAGGCGTGAGAAGTAAAAAAATGTTCATATACATTACAGAGTCGATCCGTTTCATCAATATATCTCACGCAAGTATTGTAATCGCGAAAAAATCAGCAATGTTATTCTATGTTTTCTTCGGTCTCTCTTTCTGTCTGTCAGTCTATTCGCTAATCCTTGAAAAACTGATCCAGAGACGGTGGAGCTGCAGGCAAGAAACAAAAAAAAAATCAACACTAAAGCCTCGTTTTCTGACGTATTTGAAGTCCTTGCACGTTTGGAGGGTTATGGGGGGAGGGTGGGAGTGGTGGAGAGGATATATCTCGATTTTTGGTATCAGAATATTTATTTATACACCTTACATACACATTTCACACATATATTTCTCACTGCATTTTCCCTTAAGTATTAGAATGATCTAGTCGCTGTCGAGCTTACTAGTAAGACAAAGGAGAAATGTTTAGATCGCAGCGTTGTCAAAAGGTTTGAGACTGATTGAGTGGGTGTTTTCTACTGTCTCAGCCCTTACTTGACGCCACCTTTTTGCTATAACTGTTGATAATGAATTGCAGGAACAATAATTTCCGATGGTACAGCGGCGAGCGCTACAGGATGGGGAAGGCTCTACGATGAAGGGCCATTGTCAGACATCTTACAAGTAGTTGACTTACCAACCATAAAGAAAGACTCCTGCGAATCTTACTATTCAGGCCATCTCTCGGATACCATGTTTTGTGCGGGATATGAACAGGGCGGAAAGGATACATGCGTGGTATGGTCATATTTTAAAAAATGAATGCAGCACGGAAAAGTAACCAAAAGCCTAAAGGGTCAGCTCACAAAAATTCGTTTTTGTAAATAAAAAGAGTTTCGTTACCCCAAATAGGAAAAGATCGTTTTCACTATTCAGGTAAACGAATTACGTGCCATTTCTTACTTTTGTGGCGTCAGTATTACTTTTGGTGCTGCAATATTGACGACTGGTTAAGCAAGTGCCTATAGTCCGGCACCGAAATGGATGAAAATAGCATAACGCATCGTACGCCACTGCTAACGCTGTGTGTCTTTGGATTGACAAAGTCGGTGCGCACGAGTCTCACCGTATTCAAAGACACGCATTAGCAACGGTGTCCGATGACGGATACTACTCTTTTCCGTTTCGGTACCAGACTAAATTATGCCGAATACTATGAATGACGTTCTAAATGGGGGGACAACCATATTACAAGTGCATTTTCCACAACGAATCGCAGCCAGACTGGTGCGGTAGTGACAGAGATAGCGGTGCTCAAATAAAAGATGGCGGACATAAAGGAGTTGACGGGGCACAAAATTTCCGTGTTATAATTATATCATCAACATCATAGTTATCAGAAACGGGTTGAATATACTCTGTGAGTACAAGTGTTACACTCAGAAACAATATTTCTTCAACTTGCTTTACACGCTTTTATTAGCTTGGCCAGTATGTATCGGTATCATTGAGCATAATTTTCACCAATTTCCAGAAGTTTGATTGATTTGAAACTTCGCACACCTATCAAGGACCGATAACAATGCAATAATTTCATAACAGTTTTCCATTATCATTATAAGTAAAATTCTGTAAAAAGCAGATATGTTAATAAAAAGCCACGGATCTCAAATGCCGCTTCACGAATACTAAAACTACAAGCCTCTGTAGTTCAGTGATAGAGCACTGGCCTTGTAAACCAGGGGCTGTGAGTTCAATCCTTACAGGAAGCAGATTGTGGTATACCTTTTTTTAACACCCTTTTATTAGCGTTTAGCTATTTTGACCAATTTCCAGATTCCGATTAACCCTCATGTCAAGCATTTCAGGATTTACAGGTCAAACCAATTTGATTGTTAGTGCCTTGACCTCTTTTTCTCAAAGCTTGGTCTTTTGGTGGTTGGGTGTGTAACTTTATTTGGTGCTTTGCATTTCGATACTTTACTCTTTGATGAAGCCTCCACAAAAATGTATATGCCATTTGATGAATTACCCTACCCAGAGAATATAAAAACTGAAAGAGGAAAAGTGAAATAGGGGATGAGATTGCTCTATTTGCCCCACATGCTCACTAAGCTCAAAAACTATACCGTGATTTTTACCAGAATATATTATACATCGGAACTTGAGCTATTTTTTTGTACAAAAATATCTTTTAATGATACAAAAGTTCTAATCAAATTCCTATTTTTTTCAGGGTGACTCTGGGGGTCCGCTGGTAGTATCTGGAATTTTAATTGGGATCACATCCTGGGGAGGAGTTTGTGCTGCCCCTGGGAACCCAGGTGTTTACACGAATGTTCCTGTTTTAAGAAAGTACATAGACTCTATAGTAAGCGCTTAAGCTGCAATAAATACAGAATTGTTCAATCTGTTATATTTCTTTTTATTCCAGCCCCTTATGAGATTTAATTAGGATAAACTAGTGTTTCAATACCATTTTACGGTATCCAGTTCTTATATTTTCGGTAAATTTTGTCTTACAACCTCTTGTAATATTTTGAATTTTCTTATGAAAGGATCTTCAAAAATTACAACTACATGGTTATGCCGCGTGTTTCGATAAGTTAGAATCTTCAGCATATTTAGCGAAATGAGTCGAGATAAACGAGTTTGGCGAGTGGTAAAACTCTGATGTAGAGATGTTTGCTGCACCAATGGATCCGGCATTACATATACAGGTTTCCAAAAACTATGATCTAGACGAAAACTAATTCTTTGACTCAATCTGGTGCAACACTACCCGAAAGTTCAAGTTCTAACTAAATCTACTTGACTCTAGTTTTCACTCCGGTATATGAGACCTTTGGCGTAATTTTTATATGCGGATCTAAAGCAAGCTGCGGTTACGAATCTTGCAAGTCTTAAACAAATGAATTCGTTTCGTAATTTTCATCAATTTAAAACAGTACACGGTGAACCATAATGTGATTATTGCCAATAATTTCAACCGAATTGTTTATACAGTGTTCAGTTTTTCCACTTTCGGAAGATAATGATGTTAGTCAGGATATTAATTATTAAATAATGTGATTACTTAACTTTAAAATGCGTGTAAAAAGACTAATTGTTTGTTGGACCCGTTACAACAGTTTACAGTTAGGAAGTAGGTGGTTGCATTTGTACACAACTGATGAAAACGTCTGAAATGTTTATACATTGACACGTTTCCGTGCAGATTGAATTAAGTCAACCGCTTTGTTGATGACATTTATTTGGGCTCATTGAGAAACCTGGTACTTCTCCAGACTATGGCGATTTTCCTGAGAAACATATTTATACAAATATTTAAAATCTGGCCATACGAAGCCAGGAGGGTATTGAACAATGTAATGTTACCAAAAAATTCGCACAAATTCACTGACTACTTTTTGAAATATTCATAGATACCTAGGGTTTTGGGATTGTTCATACTCACAGGTACAGTGGCGCTCCCAGGATTTCAGTCTGGAAGGGGTAAAATGGAAAGTAAATTCTCAGTGTGACGTACTGTGTTATAGTGTTATATTGATTTAACATTGAAGGTATGGACATGGGCAGACATATGAATTTGTTACAGTAATTTCTGTAGAAAATGCATACAATATTTTTTAATTTTGAATCATACGAAATCAAAGTGTAAATAAAGCAAACCAAGCTCGAACAATCTTCATATATTAAAACAAAAATGCAAAATAATATAATCTGTCACTCACTTTTCTAGATAACAATGTCAGACAGAACAACAAAAAATACATCTACATGAAAAAAATAACAATAACAAATATGTTACGACTTCTATTAAGTATAAAACTGAATGTAAATCAAAATAAAATTCTTAATCATGAGAAAAACACAACAGGTGGGGTATCATCGAGAAACTAATTTTCTTACTCCTAATTCTTTATGTAAAATTTTTTGAATTGAGGTCTTTGGGATCTTCAAGGACGCCTCAATCTCGCGATATGTCACATGTCTATCTTCAAGAGTTTGCGCACAGCATCGACGTTTCCCTGGGTGACTGCCGTTTTTGGTGCACCCACCCTGAGATCGTCGCTAAAACTCACCCGTCCACGTTTGAATTCTCCATACCAACGGGAAATTGTGGCGTTTCGTCGCCGAAAACAGACAGTCACTCAGCAAGGCATTCTTGTTGCGATAATTGTCTCTGAAAGTTATAATAAATTATGGCGCGAAAATGATCTCGGTTGAGTTTCCATTAATGACTTGGTGAAACTTAAAAATTCACTGTAGTGAGAAGACTGCTCGTATTGTTATGAAACTTTGAGTTTAAGTTTACTAAAGAGTGAGGTTAAGATTCAGTACTGACGTTCGGTCCGCGCGACCTACTATGTTTCTATATGCAAAACTTAAAAGACATCCCTCGTACTTATTAAATTTTTGGTTTCGTTACTATTTAGTCCATGCAAATATTTAGAGATTGCTTCTAATAATGTCCACTACTTCAGCTTCAGTTTTTGAATTGAATACTGACGCAAAGAAAATATTAAAATTGTATATATTCAAAGATTCTTCATTGAATCGGTATACCAAATCCTGTAATATATTATCTAGCAAAGGGGCATATAGGTTCAGTCTGTAATGATTTTCCTTACTATTCGTGTGTCTGGGCGGTCCGTAGGACCTTTGCCCATTAGTCACTGTCTAATGTAGGTTAGTCGAATCTGTCAGTACTGGTTGCCCAGAAACCGGACAATGTCAAGGAAAAAGCGAAGGGAAAGAGAAGAAAAATGGAGAAGAGCAAAGAAAAACAGAAGTGTTTAGTTTAAGAGGAGACACCTAGGCTTTTTGACTTGGTACACGGATTAATTTTGAGGTGAACTAAACAAATTTTTGATTCAATTTTGTTAGAGTGTAATTTTTAGTTCACTTAAATTTTTTGATTACAGTGCGAGCCGTCTCCTTGAATGTTTACGAACTTGCTCCACCGTGTAGTCTACTGAGCCGCGCAACAAAGGGCTGCTGTGCGATTCCGCTTGACTATAACGTCGCTGCGCCTGAAGTTTGACATAATCCCTCAAGTAAGGAATGTCAAGGTCTCTGTGTAGTGTCTCGTTTGAGACATACCATGGAGCGTTGCAAATTGTTCGCAAAGTTCTGCTTTGCAGTACTTGAAGACTTTGCATATGTGTTGGCAAGGAAACACCAAGCCGCACATGCATAAGTAATGGCTGGTCTAATAATCATTTTATATAGGCGAAATTTGTTTATGAAACTCAATTTGGAGGATCTACATAACAAAGGATATAGTTGCCGAAACGCAATTTGGAATTTTGTTTTCAAGGCTGCTGTATGTTTCTGCCAGGTCATGCCTTTATCAAGGCTGACACCGATATACTTGGCAGAATTTGTCCATGGTACACGATTGCCGTCTACAGATACGTCTGCTGGGGGGCCGCGACGTTTTTTTGGTACAATAAATAGCCTGCGTTTTCGAATGATTAATTTTAATCAACCACCGTTCCGCCCACTCCAGTACTTCTTCCACCGCACTCTGCAACCCATCGTGAACCAGATCACCAGTACACGACTAGGCGACAAGTGCAGTGTCGTCAGTATAGAGGTAGACTTCACAGTTGCTAGGGCAAGGGAAATCATGGATAAAAAGCGAATAAAGGATTGGTCCTAGGACCGAAACCTGAGGAACACCGGCCCGTACTGATCGTGTTGTTGAATAAACATTGTTAATTTTGATCCAGAACTTCCTTCCTTCAAGAAAGAATTGCAGTAATTTTAGAAGCCAAAAAGAAAAACCCTTTTGGATTAATTTATAAAGGAGGCCCGCGTGTCACACCTTGTCAAAGGCTTTTGAGACATCCAAAAGCAAGATGCCAGTACTCCTGAGGAAATATCGAACCCACCTTCTTTGGAATCATGATGCAGCAGTCTTCCACCCAGGAGGGAAGTACTGGATTCTGGGCGTCGCATTGATTATTGTCACCAAATATGCCAGGGCTTTCGGCGAGAGCAGCTTCAACGCCTTGTTGGTGATTTGATCCTCCCCAATCTTTTCCGATTTTTTGATTCTTGGTTAATTCGCTCTGAACCTATTATATTTCTTATATTATTCTCTGGATTTTCGTGAACCTTTAAAATGTTTGTAGCATCTGAAACTGCTTCTGTATGATATATTGAGTTCTCATGTGTCTCACAATCACCGGTTTTGCCATGCAATTTCGAAAATTTCTTTAGTGGTACGGTAACAAGTTTTCTCAATTTAGTTCATTTATGTACTCCTCCTAATTTTGCAGAAACCACGCAATATTTACAGAAAAGCCGTTGTAGTTTTTCTGAATATGACAGCCAAGGAAATTTCTCAAAGTGTTTTTTTGATAAGTAACCTTTCACTTCTTTATTATTTTTCAAGTGTGTGGAATAGGGATATTTGAAAGAGTCATTAGGGATCATTGCACACCTCAATAAGGTATATTTTTCATGGGAAGGCAAGTTGCCGCTGAAATTTACATACGGCGCAACATCAACAAAATTGGATCCTTTAGGTTTCGCACTCGATTGTTCAACACTTGGATCAGCATACGGTGCAACATCAAGAAATTTTGAAGTGGAAGGCTCAGGTTTAATTGTAGGATTATCATCAGTTTTTTCCGGTAATTCTTGTGCCGGTGGATCAGACAGTTTGTTTTGTTTAGAAAGGAACCAATTGATGGTATTCTGTGTCCTTTTCCTAATCCAGACAACAGCAGCTATCAACCAGCACTAAAAGTTACACAAA